CACAGCTGCCAGCACTGAGCAGAACAGCTCCGCACAGAGGGAAACGCGCCAGGCCTTTGTTCTACAAGGCTCATATCTGAGGCATTATTCACTTTTCTCGCGGAAGCGCAGGAGGAATGATCGCTATGTGGGATGAGCGCAGCAAAAAAAAAAAAAAAAAAGGACAACAACAGAGAACTCCTCCACACATGTACACACACACACACACACACACACACACAAAGTCCCAAACAGGACTTTTTGCTTTTTGTTCCCCTTTCTAGCTCACACACCTCTTGCCCGCCCACTTCCACTCGCTCACCCACACAAACACATGCACCTCCAGGCCCAGCCACATCCACCCACACACACACACACACACACACACACACACACACACACACACAGGCGCTGCCGCGATGCCAAACAGCACGGCTCTTCTAGTTACGATACATGTCATCTGCCCCAGACAACGGCGAGAGCTTTTCAGAGCCTTGAAAAGAAGAAAAGAAGAAGAAAAAAAAAAGGCCCAAGGCCTGGAAAAAACCCAAACTCCTCTGGCTGTCACACACTTCAGAGGGAGCTCTGGCAGGTGTGTTTTTAACACCTCCACTCACTGTCCCCCCTGCTCCATTCCACCTGTTGCTCCTCTGGAAGGCACACTCTTCTCAGCTGCCCCGCAGGACGCCACATGACACACACACACACACACACACACACACACACATGCATGTGTGCGGACAGGCGAGCGCGGCTTCTGAAATCGTGTGTATCTCTTCTGTCTCAGAAACACACACAAAGGCAGCACGCTGACATAAAGAACTTACATAACCCTACATGGGTTTGCACGGTTTATCGTGCTCTTTTGAAAGAAGAAAACAACTCAACTTGATGCTTTCACCTTCTATAATGGAAATATATATGCATTTTCTGTGAAATGTCTCTGGGCTCCTTTCTTTGAAAACATTCATTCAAACCTCCTTAAGTTGCAGCTTTACCCTGAAAGTGACTTTGTTTTTCTTGTTCCCTACATCAGCAGCTTCTAATCCAGCTTGTGAAGATTCCAAACCCCATACTGCTGTCACATGTACAGTTCCACCTGTATTTCCAGTCTGAGAATCTTACCTCAGAAAAGAAAAAAAAGGCATGTTTTCTTCCTACACATTACATATACATATACATATATATATATGTATATGTATATATGGATAGATAGATATTGATGCTTAAGGCATCATGAGGTACAAAAATAGCTCTGTGGTGAACTTTTAACTACTCTGCATGTTGTTTTCTCAGATAAACCCACAGATAGAGGAGGTGAGATAAACCAGCACAATGATGACATTTAAAAAAAATTAAATATTGACCAAATGCTCACAATTCCAATTACAACATTTACCGGACGATTACCTGTCATACAGTTTATGGTGAATAACGACTCCTCCTCTTCCCGTTATTATGATCATGTTACAGTCTAAGATGACTCATAATTGAAGAATTCCACAAATATTAGAAATGAATAAACAAAGAAGAAAAAAAAATCGAGTTTTCTTTTTTGACTTTTGCTTTTTTCTGAACAGAAATTTCAGAGGACAAGCCTGGAACTGAGATGACATCATTGAAAGGAAGTACATTTCAATAAAGGGTAACAAACAGATTTACGCAGCTGTTTCATGACTGCATTTTTAATATTAACTGCTAAACTCACAGCACTGGAGGTTTGACAACATGAACGATGCTGTGCTGTGCAGCAGAGTAGTCCGAAGTCAGTGTGTGTGTCTGGCACACACACTCTTTATTCTCTGCTCACTCATTTTGTCTCAGATCTAACTCTTCTGACTACAGACGCGAGGCATTGTGGATTGTTTATCCCTCCATCTGATGGACTTTCCAGTGTCCATTAAGACAAACTGTTGCCGTTTAGTTTTTTTTCCAACCGCTTCTCAGCACTTATGTGGCGGCCTCTTTCACTGCCATCTACACTCAGAATCTGGAGTAAGTAGCTTAACGGGAACAAAACACAACACTGAAATACACAGTTCAATTTTAGTTTGGCTGATATTTTTTCATCTGTGCATATCACAGTTAGATCAGTATCTTACACAACAACCGAGCAGTGAAATTGTGACATCCGGTGCTGGAATTAAAAGCACATCACAGATGGTTGTGTTGTTGCAAATGAAAGCCTTCAACATATACAGAGAATAATGAATGTTTTAAGAATAAGAATGTTTTTTTTTCCCCACTCCACAAATTTCACAAAGTCTGCCGATACTGTTCCTACTGTTTCCCCCCAAAAACAAAGCAGGGATGTTAAATGAGAATTGACATTCTCCAACTGATTAGTCCACTCAGCTACATTGCAGATTAAGAGTTAGAAAGCAAATCATGTGATCATTGTACACACACTTGAGTCAGTTAGGAAACAGCTCGCTAATGCCTAAGAGCACAGACTCCCCAAAAAACCGTCTAGGATGTCATCTGAATAAATCATCTTCAAGGGTGGGACTTTTTTTTTAAGATTAGAAATATATTGGCAGTTTGTTGGCTACTTGAGGACCCCCCCCCCCCCTTTTTTCCTTCTCAAAGGCTAAATTTCTTGCTTTAATCCAAGGAAACCTTGAAGGATTCAGTCACTTGGAATTTGATGTATTGGAATATTCCTTACAGATAAACACAAAATAGCAACAGGTATTGAAGTTAAAGGACACAAGAAGAATCAACCCCCCCCCCCCCCCCCCCCCCA